AATTGATCCACTATGAACCGAGAACTAAGCGAATGAAATTTCTGCCTAGCCTCGGTCTTCATTACTAAAGTCAGTACGATAAACAGCATAGTCTCCATTTTATCCATTTAATCGTTAAATCGAGAATGAAAGTTACGCAGTAAATCGTTCTGGGGCCTCTTTCATTGAAATTTAAAGTAAAATGTTTTAAGGATGAAGCATTTTCTTTGGCTAAGTGTTAAAAATCCTTGTACAAACTTGGGGGTTCGGGTCGCCGAATGGTTAATGTGTGCACGTTGCATCATAGGGTCTGGCATGACGTCAAGTGTTGTGGTTTTGATTCCACGCTTGTACATGACAAAGTGTGTGGTTGTCTGTCCTGGTCCTACAGTTTCCTCTCACAACTAACGACCCCTAATCGCAAGCAAACTATTGAAATTAGTCCCAAAATGACCTGCTTTGATTCGAGTGGACGTTAAACCCCATTTTAGACTGTCCATTACTATAAACCCCATTTACAGTACAAAATTCGAATAGTACCTTAAACCATGCCACTAAGCTATTTGTGTTGACAACCGGCCAAACTGTATAGTCATTGCTATGGTTAGCAAGCATCGCAACAACCTACTTTTATATCTAATTCCAATTGCCGAGGGATCTTTTATATGCACGGCAATATGTATACGGGAGGTCGGTTTCCGTCCTGTCTGAATGCCTATACATTGGCCCTATCCAGGCCCTCTGTCCTACACCACAAGGGGGAATCATACCGGAAAATTCCAAAACTCAAAAATGGAACAAGGGACCTCCAGGTTAGCGAGCCAACATTTACTCACTGAGGCACCGCAGCTCAACATGTGATACACCTTTTATGTGACAAGGAGCAACCACATCTTAAAATCTTGATGAACTTTCTCAGCCAAAACAGGCATCGAAGACAGGACCTCCAGGTTACTGAGCCAATGTCTTACTCACTGAGCCACCGCAGCTCAACACATGATACACATGTTTTAAGAGACACGGGGCAACCACGTTAAATCTTGATGGACTTTCTCTTGATCGAACACGGGACCTCTAGAATTAGCGAGCCAATGTCTTACTCACTGAGCCACCTTGGCTCCCCTTGTTATATAATACCTACTCTTGACATTTAGACTTTAATAAGATAGACCCATTATTAGTGGTCACCTTCCTAAGCTGCTTGACGTCATAACTGTACAGTACTTGTTTATGGTTTAGTCCATTATATCTGGTTATGGCATCACTTAATTACTTGAAGTATCGGAGTACATAGTAATTACTAGAAGTATCAGAATACATCAACATAAGCCAACACCCTTATTTATTCACAAAGTTACAGAAATATTTAAAGTAACTAGATAGACTTTGATTTGGGTTTTAAAACAAAGATAAAAGTGCTGATTTAATTAGAATTGAAATTTTATGTCCACAGATAGAGCTAATGTCATAATATTCACCTGATTTTTTTTGTTCCTCTTGTCAACAGTTTCAGAGAGTAAACAAACTGATTTCTGCTTTATACTTCAAACGGACTACGACTGTACATAGTTGTAGAGTCAGATGTCTAACAATGTGGGTGTAAAGGAAAAAATTTTATCTTTTTCGTACAAGCCAGCCAGATGTGTTTTAAAATTGCATAACAGTCTGGATGGCTGAACGGTTACCGCATGTGCGCTGTATCATAAAGTCTGTCATTGAGTCAACTGGCGTGGTTTCGATTCCCCAGTTGTATGTGACAAGGGGTAGGGTCGCCTGTCCAACCTCGTGGGTTTTCTCTGGTTTCCTCCCACTGCTAAAGGCCCCTGCGCGCAAACAAATTATTTAAATAGAATTGAACCATATGTTAGTCCTGAAATGAGGTAGTTTTTGTCAAGTGGACATTAAACCACATTTCTCTGTCTCTCTCTCTCTTTCTCTCTCTCTTTGAAATCTATATTGCGTCTTTAAGTATACCAGTATAAATATGTCTCGTTAGTTCTGAGTTGTACAAATAGAACTGCAATTGTACAGACGATGTCCAATTTGCATTTCAGTAACTAAATTGATTCCTGTGATATGATAGCCAAACAACTAACGGTTCCAATAAAGATGGTACTTAAATTATTTCCGATAATATCACAGGGACATTTTTATCAAGTTCCTTGTCATTATCTATATATTAAAACACTTTCATTTGGAGTACATTTCAAAAGCAAACTATCAGGAATTAATTGTCTTCCATTCATATTTTTCCTGATTTATTTTAAGTGTCAAGCTTTCGATTAAGTTCAACTAATGTCCAGGGTATGTTAATTGGATAAGTGCCAAATTAATCAAAGGGATATTGCGCTTCAGGTAGTCTCAAGAACATTTCTTATTTCCGTAGTACGGTATATATCGAGTTATTTTATGAACAGATGGAGAAAAGTTTTAAGAGCAAGCATTAATGAGGCTGGATGAAATGACACTCAAGGGTACCATTTCCTGATTCTGGTAATAATCATGATGAATCTATATACATCAGATATATCTGTCTACCCTTTAAATATTTCAAATATTATTCTTCTTGCTTAAAGATAAATTATGGGAGATAAGATAAAGAGATGGCAGTTCTCGCTATAATAGTTAAAAACTAGATAGTGTAAAGGTAATTTGCTGAAAATTTCAGTCAAATTGATCCACTATGAGCCGAGAAAGAAGCGGGTGAAATTTTTGCATAGTCTTGGTCATCATTACTAAAATCATTAATATAAACAGCATAGTCTCGATTATCCACTTTTTTTTATTAAATTATCAACAGCCGTTAGCGGCATATAGAAATCTAATCCAGTCAACATCGAAGGCTAGCCTTGACATCGAGAGTTTATTATGGTCTGGATAAGTTAATTAATGTCTAATTGATAATTTAGATAACATTTGAGGCCTAAAGAAAGACTTGTAATAAGCAGATTTTGCTCTTGCATAATGCATGTTTAAGATTAGATAAAAAATAACTGTCCGTTCTTTGTATAATAGATTAAAACTAGATAATGAAACATGAATTTCAATTAAATTACCTTATATTACTTTGTTCTGAATTCATGAATGTTTGAAGTTTTGATGAAGTTTTGACAAGAAATAGTCGAAAGGTGTCCACTGATTGTCGATTGACAGTTCATATTCTCAATAGTTAAAGGCTCAATACCACTCTTGCTGTAACTGAATAATATGCCCCAATCTTTATTCTGGTCAACAAATTGTACTATTTTACAATATTCCAATTAATCGGTGATACAAATTTCATCTTAACACACCTTATTTAAAAAATTGGAAAAATTCAACTAAATGATTTGAAAAGCCTGACATAAAGCTTTTCAAATGTGACTTGGATTTAAAAATATTTTTGAACCCTCTGGACAAGTAAAATAGGATTTAATGGATAATTTACACAACAGGTAGGACACTAACACATCTAGTACTTAGAATAAGGCTATTTTTTATTTTCTGGAGCTGTCAAGCCAGCAAGAGTGTTATTGTCCCTTTAAGTCCCATTGATAATAAACAAAGTCTTGATTTTCAGTCCTTCATTTGGTTGTTACCTTGAGTGTTGCCATACTCTCGCTAAAGGAAGATATGGTGTGCATTATCTAATCCACTCAATATCTCAGTCATTTGATGCTCTAGAGAGTTGATTGTGGGCCTCTCTCATGAACAAATATCTAAATAACATTTGACACCAGAAGAAAGACCTGCTATAGGCAAGATTTAGCTCTTAACATAATACATATTTTTAAGATAACTTTTATGAAAAGTTTAATTCCAAAAATGCTTGTTGCATATCATAACCAATTATAAGTAAATCTTTTTGAATTAATAATTATTTCAGTATTCAAGAACAGGATACCATTGATTTTCAGGGGGGTTGGATGGCCGAATGGTTAGCGTGTGCGCACTGCATCATAAGTTCTGTCAGTGAGTCAACTGGCTTGGTTTCGAATCCCCGGTTGTACGTGACAAGGAGTAGGGTTGCCTGTCTAATCTCGTGGGTTTTCCCCGGGTCCTCCGGTTTCCTCCCACTGCTAAAAACCCCTACGTGCAAGCGAATTATTGCAATAAAATTAAACCATATGTTAGTCCCAAAATTACCTAGTCTGTGTCGGGTGGACGTTAAACCCCATTTCTCTCTGTCTCTGTCTCTGGATTTTCTCAGAGCACTCAGGATTACTCTCACGTCTAAACACTTCTGACCCCAAGCAATTTATTGATATTAGAATATACGATGTTAATCCCCAACTGACCAAGAATTAAATAAATAGAGTTTAAACCTCTATTGCCATTAATCTTAATATTCTTCATTGCTTTTTATGACAAGCTCTATTGAAGGTCATTTATTGAAGTGGTAAAAAAAATCTTTAAATAAATTTAAAAATGAACCCCAGAGTATTAACTGATAATAAAAGAAAGCCCAATATGATTAATTTGAATTATCGTGGCAGATTCAATTGTCTCAACAAATAAATTCGAAAGCTGAAGCGATCAATGTACGTTCTACTGTCTGACCAAACAGATAAGTTATCCCATTTTTCTTAACCCAACATCATTGGTAACACATTGATGTTGGAAATCTTAGAGCCACATAGTCTTTGGTCTGCTAATCAATTTAATGAAATAAAAAGTTTTGACTTATTGCTGCCTCTTGCTCTTTTCATCATGGAAAAATCAAGGATTTATACGAGGTACGAGCGTATATACGACACAACTGTCTGGCTATTTGCAATAAGGAAGTCAAAAGGTATAGCCGAACATTGTCAAGAGTCAAGGCTACACAGTGATAACTGATCAAGTCACAGGATAAAGACATATTTTCATATGTATGTGAACCCAGACAAAGCTGCAAGGTTATGGGAGAAACTGGTGTAATTGGTGGTGTTGGTCAGTAGATTTAAGGCATCACGAGGAACAGATATGTTGATGTAGCAGTTGTTATAGTGACACACTGATAGAAATATTTTGTTTTAAATTTGGTCGTTTTATAATTACAGGTGGTGATTTAACAACAGATGAAGAAGCTGCATTAAAATCCTGTTGGTCATCAATAGTTGGATCAGACTTTGATGTTGTTGTAAGTATTCTCATGTTTACTAATCTGTTCAAACTACAAAAACTGGATGGTATCTCACTCAAATAATACAAGCATTTGACTACATTGTAGATCTTTAAAGATACATTAGTTAAAAAGTTTAATGAGTTGGCCATTCTTGCTATAATAATTCAAAAATGATAAAAAAAGAAAATATTGAAAATTTCAGTCAAATTACTTTATTCTGAGCGAAGTATTCTCAACTTTCAATATACAAGGATTGATTCCTGTTTTTCCTCGGCCGTATCACTGAGATCCAAACTGATTTGTACTGTTTTAAGGGACTCTTCCGCCCTTTCCTTCCTTTGAGTGTAAGGTTTTTTCGTCACCTTTTTGGAATTTTATTTTAAAGTTTACTAATCTGTTCAAAAATTAAAATACTGGTACCATAATATCTCGCTCAAATAAAACTAGCATTTGACCATATTGTAAGTATTCTCATGTTTACTAATCTGTTCAAACTACAAATACTGGTACCATGATAGCTCAATCAAATAGGAGGTTGGATGACCGAATGGTTAGCGTGTGTGCGCTGTATCATAAAGTCTGTCATTGAGTCATCTGGCATGGTTTCAATTCCCCAGTTGTACCTGACAAGAAGTAGGGCTGTCTGTCCAACCTCGTGGGTGTTCTCCGGTTTTCTCCCACTGCTAAAGACTCCTGTGCGCAAGCGAATTATTTAAATAAAATTGAACCATATATCAGTCCCGAAATGACCTAGTTTTTGTCAAGTGGATGTTAAATCCCATCTCTTTCTCTCTCTCTCTCTCTCTCTCTCTCTCTCTCTCTCTCATCTCCCTCAAATAAAACTAGCATCTGACCACATTGTAGATCTTTAAGGTCAGTTATATCTGTGCTATATTGTTCTATGAATGTACCACATGTTATTCCCAAAATGGCCCAATTATTATTAATATTACATGGATGTTAACCCCTATTTACTCATAATTAAAATGATCAGTTGTATGTTATATAGGTAGGGCTTTCGTTTTAATCATATTTCCTTGGTCAGACAGATTAATGATTAGATTAATTGGAAAAATATAACTTCAGACAATTTACCTACCACAGAATTAGTTAATCTGAAAAAATATACCTTAAAATGTCATAAATACATTCGTAGTTTTCTGGGCAAATTGATTTTGAAATATTATTAGAAGAATCAGAAACATTATTGTCAGGAATTTTGACATATATGTAAGCATGATGAATGTTTCCATTGCTCCGTGAAAGATATTACGCGTAATTATTTCAATCATGAATCTTATTTTGTCTAGCAGCAAGTTAATCCTCATAATATGTAATATGTATTTGACTGTGTCATCCAGTGGTTAGTGCTAAATGATAAGGCCAGCTCAATTTTTCGTCATAGGTCACGAGATGTAAATAGGGCTAGCGCTAATCCTAACCCTAACTCTGGACCTTGCCCCAATGCTTACCCTAACCCTATCCTTCAATCACTTGCCCTAACCTTATTTACATCTCACGACCTTGACAAAAATTCAGCTGGCCTTAACAAATAGATTTAGCCGTCATCCAGCCTTTCACTTCCAGCAAATCAATGTGACTGTGTGATGTAATACATATAATGATGTAATTTATTGGGTTGATTTGAGTTTTCCTATCTTGTGTAATTGATCTAGTATTTACTTCGGCTAATGTCAACATAAGTCCCGCAACAAATTATCGGAAATTTATACATATTGTGAGCCGTGTAACAACTGCTCATGTTTGCATTGCTGTTCATATTCAAGAAGCAAAGATAGTAGGGGAGATAGTGGATTTTTCTAGCGTTGATGAATATTTTATACCTGATACAGGATTTGAAAGCAGCGTTTATTTTATCTGTGATATTCAAACTGTAAAGACACAGACCAGACACCTTGTCTCATGTCATTTGTCAATTTTACATGTATGTACTCCATGCTTTAAGAGGCATTTATCTCTCTAAACTAAGAGAAATAAAATTTATTTCAATTATCCCATGTCGAATGAAGTTATTGAAATGGGCTCTGTCGATATTCCATCCTCGTTTTGTCTCCAAGGCATGAATGTAGGATGTTTCGGCCAGTGGACGGAATGACCGACAGAGCCCGTTTCAATAACTTCATTCGACATGGGATGATTGAAATAAATTTTATTTTTCTTAGTTTAGAGTGATAAATGCGTCTTAAAGCATGGAGTACATGTGTAATTGACAAATGAAATGAGACATGTTATGGCATATCTCACAAACTATAGATTCCTTCATGAAACTTTTCTGAGCACATGTACCTTTAGACATTTCTCAGATTTTTAATAAACCATTCAAGATATCTTATAACATTTTGTTTGCACATCAGCCCGGGGGGGGGGGGAGGGGTGGATGGCCAAATGGTTAGCGCGTGCACGTTGTATTATAAGGTCTGTCATTGAGTGAACTGGCGTGGTTTCGATTCCCCGGTTGGACGTGACAAGGAGTAGGGTCGCCTGTCCAACCTTCTGTGTTTTCTACGGGTCCTCAGGTTTCCTCCCACTGCTAAAGACCACTATACGCGAGCTAATTATTGAAATAAAATTGAACCATGTTGGTCCCGAAATAACCTAGTTTCTATTGAGTGGACATTAAACCCCATTTCTCTCTCTCTCTTTCTGTCTTCACACATCAGCTTATTAAGTTAATAACATTTGTGTTTCCACGTTAAAAAATTTGACATTTTGTTTTCAAACTTGCATCTTGAATAGAGCATAAAACTTTTCAGTCTTTTGAAACTTTGTGTAATTATTTTCTAAAAAAAATTGATATTGGTAGTTGGTAATTGAACAAGGTAGCTTAATTGGGATGTCTCGCTGACCACTACTCAGTCTCAAATAGAAGTCATGTAAAAAGGAAAGCGGACTTCTTGATGCACACAAATCTCAAACACAGACACATTCATTAGAATTGTTAATGCAACATATTAAATTTACATGTACATCATTGATTGATGAAGAAAAACGTTCTTAAAGTTTTTGGAAATTCAGTTCAAAATTGATTCTGAAATCACTAGAGATAACTTTTTCTGTGGATGCACAATTTTTCATGCATGTCAAATGTCAGATAAAAAAATGCCTGATTTACAATTTAGAGAATATGAATTGATTTTTTTATTTTTTGAACTGTGATGGCTTAGTAACAATAATGATTATTGTAAAACCTTATCAACTTTATCCTGTTTTTCGTTTTTTTTTTTTAGGTTGCTAAGTTATCAAAGTTTAAAGAGGGTGGAGGATTGGGTATAAGTTTAGAAGGAACAGTAGATGTTGAGAATGGTGTTGAGGTACGACCTCATCATTACATTCGTTCTATTCTACCAGAAGGTCCAGTCGGTCAAAATGGAAAATGCAAAAGTGGAGATGAACTTCTAGAGGTAATAAATGAATGACAGCAGAAAAATTGCAATTCTGTATTAGTCTTTTTGAAAAAAAAATGAAAACATTGTCCATCAAAAGACAAAATATTTTTGTTGGAAAGGTCAAAGTTGTTTGATTTTCAAAAAACTGTCTTGCAGCAAATCCTTATGCCAGGTTCCCATTGTGGTGCGATGCGTTACGATAGGATTGTCCCTATTAAGTCCACGATCTGCTACGTGCAGATATGTTCAAATACTTTTCGATATGGTTAACACGATTGTTAGGACTGACCACAATATATGATAAGACCAGAAAGGATCACCACGATTAAAACCATGATTTTAATCATAGCACGAATCGTGATAGTGGGAACCTAGCATTAAGGCAAATGGAAACAGTATTTGTGTTTTTAAATGGTTAAACATAAATATTTAAAGATAACAATAAAGATATCATCCCTTGTTTGCAATTTATTTTATGTCTTAAAAAACATTGATAAGTTGGTAAAGGAGTAAATAATGGAATGACAAAATTTCAGTAATTCTACTAGACTTTTCTTATCTGTAGAAAAAGACATGCTGTTAGTGTTTAATCCTTATCTAGGGAATAAAAACACATTAGAATGAAAGAGATAACCACAGTATTTATGTTTTATCAGTTAGAAAAAACAAAATTTAGACATGGAATTAGACCTTATGCTTAACACACAAAGAGAAACTGATATCTCGTTCTGTCAAATAAAACAGCTATCCAGTAAATAATTGGGTTTGTGGCTGATTGGTCTAACGTAAGCATTGAAGGTTATAAGGCCTGTAAACTGTGCAGGAGTTTGATTGGTGATGATTTGCCACAAACAAAATGAATTTGATCCCTGTTATATGTTTCTTCTGTTGCTCTTTAAAAGATACCTTGCACTCGTGTTGATATTTGGCATAGAAGGTACCATATGTCTTTCCCCGACTCCCATGTTTTCGCTAATGTGAGTTGTCATTCGTAATGGCAACTGTATTAGTGTCTTGTGTATTTCACCATATGTTTGCCACAATATAGCCTGATTGGAGCTGACGTACCATAAAAAAAAAAAAAATTTCATTCATTCAATGCAACTGCATTAGGATTTTAAGATACTTCGAGACGGGTAAATTTTCTACAAATAATAATGTAGTTGGCTTGACAAACCACATGAGCTGATTCAGTAAGGATAGATTGGTGGGGGCATGCCAGGGGGTAATTTTGACCCCCCCCCCCCAACCTAAAATATTTAACTGTTGATTTTTATCCATAAAAATTAACTAAACAAAAAGAATAATTTATTTACTATATATAGATGTCAATTAAAAGGATAGATAGCTCTTTCTAGCGAGGTTTATGATTATCAAACAGGGTGATGTGGTGGTAGTAATTAAGGCGGGGTGGGATGGTCGAATGGTTAGCGCGTGTTTGCTGTATCATAAAGTCTGTCATTGAGTCAACTGGCGTGGTTTCGATTCCCCATTTGTACTGTCAAGAGTAGGGTCACCTGTCCAACCTTCTGTGTTTTCTCCGGGTCCTCCGTTTTTTTCCCCACTGCTATTGAAATAGTCCTGAAATGACCTAGTTTGTGTCGTGGACTTTAAGCCCCATCTCTCTCTCTCTCTCTCTTAAGTAGCAAAGTTAACATTGCTCAATGTACAAGTCTTAATCTAAACATTTATGTGGTCATGTATATATAATGGGTTTTCCAGAATGTTGTCTAAAGTGTAAAAATCTTTCACAGTTAATGTTGATATTTTTCACTTGTTGTACACAAGGCTCAAAATTATATCCTGTCACTCATCTCTTGTCCTCAGTTGTTACCCCATCACTCAATCTCTTGTCTTCAGTTGTGTAAAGCAAACAGCAAGATGTTTTTGACTGTATGCAATAAAACTCAGTGATTTATCGTTAATTATTAAAGTCCTTTACTGTTTTATATATTTAAGAACTCGAGTGACTATTTATTGAGTTATTGCCCTTGCTTCAATTTTTGTGTAAAAGCAATACTAAGGTTGATTTTGATGAATATTTATGAAATTATCGTCCTTTCTTCAAATAAAAATAGTTTTTGACCCACTAAAGCTATGAGTTATTTCCTTTGCTTCAAAAATTCTCTTTAAACAGGAAAAGGGTTAATTAAACGTACATTATGTAAGAGCTAAATCTTCCTATTGCAGGTTGTTCTTTAGGCCTGAAATGTTATCTAAATTATTAATGGATAATCAAGATAGATAATCAAGGCTTTTTTTTTCGTCACAACTTCAACATTGACAATCGTGGCTACAAGGTTTTTAAAATGAGTATTTCTCTGCTTAGAGTAAAATGATTTGAATGAAATTTTCAAAATATTCCCGTTGAATTATCTATTTTTTAACTCTTATAGTGAGAACTGTCAGCCTCTTTATCTACTCTTCCATAATATATCTTTAATCATTATCTTTTTAAGACAATTTTGCAGTTTGCTTTATTTTCGCTTGGGTACTTATTGATTGTTTCATAATTTGCAATTTGTGTTGCATGTATGAATACAAATGACTATCATGTAACTACACTTGTCAATCCTCAGACAATTAGGTTGCAAGCAGGCATATCTTGTAGAAATTGATGTTAATATCTATGTATTAAAGATACATTATGGGAGATTTGATAATGAGTTGGCAGTTCTCACTATAATAGCAAAAAACTAGATAATGTAAAGGCAATTTGCTAGAAATTTCATTCAATTTGATCCACTATGAACCGAGAACTAAGCGATTGAAATTTCCGCCTAGCCTCGATCATCATTACTAAAGTCAGTATGATAAACAGCATAGTCTTGATAATCCATTTAATCGTTAAATCGTGAAGGAAAGTTATGCAGTAAATCGGCTCATAATCCACTAATGATCGCAGGCTAGCAATGCCATCTAGAGGTGATTATGGTTTGGATAGGTTAATTAATGTCTAATAATTTAGATAACATTTCAGGCCTAAAGAAAGACCTGCAATAGACAGATTTAGCTCTTGCATAATGTATGTTTAAAATTGTTTTTCTTGAACAGGTTAATGGACGAAGACTGTTAGGATTAAACCATGTTGATGTTGTTGGTATCCTTAAAGATCTACCACAACATGTCCGTCTGGTATGTGCCAGACGCAAAAATCCACCAGCCACAGAAATCTATGCACAACAAGAAGATGTAGACTACACGAGTCCGGCTTTTAATACAGGTGTCAAAGAAAACCTGCCTTTATCAAACAGAATGGTGAAAGCTAAATCAGATCAGGCCATATCGTCAGTCGAAAACACAGCCTTACAAAACTCTTTGAATAAGTCCAAGTCCCGCTCATTAGAACCTCTCAGTAGTCTGGCCATGTGGAGTAATGAACCAGTTGTTATTGAGTTAATTAAAGGTGATAATGGTCTTGGATTCAGTATATTAGATTACCAGGTAAGTCATGATATCTAATTAATAAATTAATTAAGGTTTTTTTATCAACCAGGTGAGGTGTTTAATGCCCTCGTTGTATCCAATTACATTTTATTGGCAGAAATTGTGAGTTAATTATACTACAGAATGCCCTTGTTTTTTTGCTCTGTTCACACTTCAATAATATAATTTGTAGCAAGATTCCTCATTAATTAACTTGATCACATGCTGGGTGAGATGGTTATACTTGTTTATAGTTCTATTGATTAAATAATGAAAACTGACCGTGAATAATCACTTTTCATTTCTCTTGTCATTGGGTAGGCGGAATCACAAATTCTCCCCCCCCCACCCCCCCGCACAACACATATAGCCAATGAAATGTAAATCCAAATGTTAGTTCCAAAATGACCGAAGTATGTTGGTGTCGAGTGGATGTAAACCCCATCTCTCTCTCTCTCTCTCTCTCTCTCTTTCCAAAATGGCCAAAGTATGTTGTAGCCAAAATTTTAAACCATGAGTTTACTTGATATCCATATTCTACCCAGTTTGATGGCTGAATGGTTAGCACGTGCGCGCTGTATCATAAGGTCTGTCATTGAGTCAACTGGCATGGTTTCGATTCCCCAGTTGTACGTGACAAGGAATAGGGTTGCCTGTCCAACCTTGTGGGTTTTCTCCGGGTCTTCTGGTTTCCTCCCACTGCTAAAGACACCCCCCCCCCTCCCCACGCGCAAACGAATTATTGAAATAAAATTGAACCATATTGGTGTGAGTTGACCTTAACCCCATCTCTCTCTCTCTCTCTCCCCAGCTCTATTTTGAAACATTGCTATGATCGATCTCTGATCTGAACCTGAACCACAAATAAGTGCACACATAGAAGCCATATCATCTCATGTTATTGTTATAGAATTGTATACATAGTAGTCAAAAGAGGAATAGATTGTCTTGTTTGTTAATGGGTTTTCTGATAGTAGAACGATAAAAATTAATTAGTGTATGAGAATCTTAACAAATGATGACAATAGGTCCATTGTTCACCAGTTTCTATTTGAGCAGTTTTGTATTGTCCATGTGTCAAAAGAATTTTCTAGAACAAAGCCACTACAGCTGTATGCTTGTATTATTGTCACACACAGTTTAAAAGATATTAATTTGATCATCGGAAATAAATGTTATCAGGCATAAACTACCATATTAAAAATAGGAAGCCATCTCCTAGTTCCTAGTAACTTATTGATATAGTGATAGAGTGAAAGAGAAATGGGGTTTAAGTCCACTCGACACAAACTAGGTAATTTCGGGACTAAATTAGAAATAGGAAGCCATCTCCTAGTGCCTAGTAACTTATTAATATAGTTATAGAGTAAGAGAGAAATGGGGTTTAAGTCCACTTGACACAAACTGGGTAATTTCGGGACTAAATTAGAAATAGGAAGCCATCTCCTAGTTCCTAGTAACTTATCAATATAGTTATAGAGTGAGAGAGAAATGGGGTTTAAATCCACTCGACACAAACTAGGTTATTTCGGGACTAACATATGGTTCAATTTTATTTCAATAATTCGCTTGCGTGTAGGGAGAGGAAACTAGAGGACCAGGAGAAAACCCACGAGGTTGGACAGGCGATATAGTGATAGAACTGAACCACTGTTTAGTCATAAAGCCCGCTTTTATTCTTGTTTATACTGTGTATTTTTGGGGGGCCATTAACCAGTGCAGGTGCTTTATGTATATTCCAATTATGATTTTGATTTTTTTTTTTTACAGCTGTCTAGTCGTTCGGATGGGATGAAAAACAGAGGTCCCATGTACACATTGGCATGCACGTAAAAGATCCCTTGGCAGTTGGGATTCGATATAAGAGTAGGCCGTAGCGCCGCTGCCCGGGCAAAATTACCCTCATAGCACACTGTATGGCATATGCCCGTCTTCATTAGCCCAGGTTAGGAGCAGAACAGTAGGACGTTAAACCCCATTTCATTTCATTTCATTTCATTTTGATTTTAATCACATCTATTAATATATGTTATACTATTTATTGATCTCATTACAGGATCCAGTGAATCCTAATGAAACTGTTATTGTGATACAAAGTCTGGTGCCAGGTGGTGTCGCTCAACAAGATGGACGCCTAGTGCCAGGCGATCGACTCATATTCGTCAATGATGTGAATGTAGAAAATGCTACACTGGATGAAACAGCTCAGGCTTTGAAAGGAGCTCAGAAAGGAATTGTCCAAATTGGTGTTGCCAAGCCTTTACTTTTATCGGAAAATTTAAACGAAGAGGTAATTTTGACACGGTTTATTGCACTTGTTTAGTTTTGTGTGTTTATTTTTATTTATCTAGTTTTGTTTTATGTTATGTACTGGTATACTTTATTTCAGTACAGATGTCTTCTAGATGTCAGGGTTCTCCTTTCATTCATGTCTCCCGGTCCTGACTGACTGGCAGATACATACCTGTCAATTATAGAGAGTAAAACAGTTGAATATTTACAACACTAAGTGTTAAGTTATTGAGGGCAAAAAAAACCCCAAAAATATTTACAACACTGTTATAAGTGTTAAGTTATTTAGGACAAAAAAACAATAGAATATTTACAACACTGTTATAACTGTTAAGTTATTGAGGGCAAAAAATTGATAATAGAAATAGGTCTGCATATAAATAAAACTGAAATGAACGAAAATATGACAAGTAGTAAATCTTTGAAGGATCTTAGCCTTATACATACAAAGAGATTACAAGATGGTGAATATCATTTCTTTTCATTTATTACATAATTAAAAAAAATACAATGCATTTATCATTATGGATGATTAAGTTTACATGATCATCAATTCAATTAAGTATTCTGGACATTAAGGTCAACAATCATAATAAATTTTACTTACTCATCAGTTATTTATTTTAACTCTTTGAATTAAGGTTTATGGCTTTTTTCTGGACATTTTAAGTTTTCAAAGTGAGAAATTATTCCAGACCTAACAATCATCATTTATCTGTTATTTTTTCCCAAAATAGTTTCACCATGGGTTAACACATGGTACAATTTTTATGGATACACAATTACTGAGTTTAATATTGAGCGACTTTTCAACAAGGATACTCTCGTATTAATCAAGCAAATGATGAATATCCTCGTCGAAACGTCACTTAGTTTTAAACACAGTAATTGGGTATCCAATCCATGAAAATTGTACCTGGTGTTAATCATGTTCAGTTACTAAATGTCAATCAAAGAAGATTACATGGGTTGTTTGAAAACAATAAATCATGGACATATTCATACCACCAAGGGGAATGGTGAAACTGCATGAGTTTTCTTTTATTTTATACCATTGTTTGAGTTGAACGTAATACTGCAACACGTGTTGTTTTATTGTTTGTTTATATTTATTATTAATATTTATCTGATTTAATCAATACACCAGTCAAAAGGGTAGAATTCTCAACTCATTACATACAATCATATACTTTTATTACAATTTGTTGGGTTGAGTGGCAGAATGGTTAACATGTTCGCGTTGTATCATTAGGTCTGTCATTGAGCCAAGCAGCATGGTTTCAATTCCCCGCTTGTATGTGACATGAATTAGGGTCACCTGTCCAACCTTGTGGGTTTTCTCCAGGTCTTCCGGTTACCTGCCACTACTAAAGATTCCAAGCAAATTATTGAAATAAAATTGAACCATATGTTAGTCCCGAAAGGACATATTTGGTGCCGAGTGGACTTTATACCCCATTTCTCTCTCTTTTTAATAGAATTTGTATAAGAAAATTAAAAACTTTCAGCATCAGTTTTAGAGTCATATTGTAAAAGAAATACATGAATGGCTTTCAGAAATTGTTATTTTTATGTATCAAAACATAGGCTACACAACAATAAATGAAATGAAATGAAATGAAATGGGGTTTAACGTCCTACTGTTCTGCTCCTAACCTGGGCTAATGAAGACGGGCATACGCCATACAGTGTGCTATGAGGGAAATTTTGCCCGGGCAGCGGCACTACGGCCTACTCTTATATCGAATTCCAACTGCCAAGAGATCTTTTACGTGCATGCCAATGTGTACACGGGACCTCGGTTTTTTCGTCCCATCCGAACGACTAGACAGCTTTCCTTGTCAGCCCCTCCGTCCTGCATCACTGACAAGGGAGAACCACGCCGGAAAATCTGGATGAACTTTCTCGGCCAATGCAGGGATCGAACACCCGACCTCAAGGCTAGCGAGCTAGCGTCTTACCCACTTAGCCACGTGATCCCCCTACACAACAATAAAGTGTAGAAATTAGACATATGTTAAGAGTTGAGGATTTCGCCCCTTATTAATGAAATCATTAAAAGAGATTGAGAGTATATTGCGAAAGATTTTGTTGCAAATATTTAGCTGTAATTTGTATTGATTTGAGCACTCAAAATTGAAAAAGAAAAAAAAAATATATAGTTATGTTATTTGGACATTCTGATTTTATTTGTCATGCAAAATTCATTGAGATACTTCAAATAATTGCAACAACCAAGAACACTTCTCAACAGTCTCTATTGAACTGCTTGAATCAAGAGATCATCACATTGAATTTTGATTGGCATTTTCTATTAATATACAAGCATGATGATAAATGAAAACTGTCAAAAACATCCTGATATCACAGACTTCTAGGTACTTTAGCTAATTGTATAATAACATTCTCAGTGAAAGATAATACCCAACTTGAGACAAATCACAATCTAAAACAAAGTCAATCATATAATCTTCACCTACATCAAGGCCCCGTGTCCCTACAGAGCATTCTCAGACAGAATTTACTCAACATTAAATCACTGTTTATGAGAAATATCTTTGATCCAGAAACTTTGCACATAGTTTATTATTGATGTATTTGATACATTAAAACAACAAAAGTTTTATAAAGGGCTATATTTTAGTTAAAATAAGGCGAACAATTTTGAGTAAATTCTTAAGTCCAAGAATGCTTTTTGAACTCTGTCCATCCTTGTGGGCTTTCTCTGAGTCCTCCAGTTTCCTCCCACTGCTATAGACTTCTATGTGCAAGCGAATTATTGATATAAAATTGAACCATGTGTTAGTCCTGAAATGACCTAGTTTGTGTCGAGTGGACTTTAAACCCTATTTCTCTCTCTCTCACACGTCATAGGACTGGTAGTAAAATTAATGGATTGGAAGACTTAATTAGAAATTCAATGAACTTGTTTTAATTTACAATAAATACAGTTAAATTTGTTGTTTTTATGCGTAAAAACACAATTAAGAATATTTTAAAAATTTGGATACTGCAAAATATGTCATATTCTTGGGAAAAAAGGTCTTGGTAATCAGAGAAACCGTAAACCTAATTAGTCAAAAACTAAATGGGTGGCAAAATGTTGTGTAAAAATTGTCTTGGTAAACTGAGGTACCGGTAAACCTGGTTAGTCAAAAACTGAATGAGTGGCAAAATGTCATGTAAAATAATATATCACACATTGGGTAAGGGGGATTCCTCAAAAGTACCATGAACAACCTGATATACTGAGATGCAATGAAATTGATCCAATGATTTGCTTACCAGACAAAACGCACCTGTAGATTGACATGATTGTAGATTGGACATCTAGTCTCACAAGACAATCATCAAAAACCCATGTACTTTAATGTTAAATATCGGGATAAGAGGTAAAAATCCAAAGTCAGTAACTTATATGTTCACCTGCTGCATGGAGGAGATAAGGCTCTGTAAGGTCACTTCTCCTCTCTTGTTGCAATGCTTCTTCCAGTGGCTCTGGTGATCATACCCTCTTTAATGAAAGCGATAGCACATTGTGGTTCTCAATTGGGATCATGTGGTTTTTTGCATTTTCTTAAGGTGCCATTCAAAATTCTGAGGCACACTGGTTGAGAATCACTGCAATAGCACATCGTTTTCAATGTTCATGTGTCAACTGAGGCATTCCATCTTTCACCAAACTGTAGGTGTACTGACCCCAGCTTTGTCAAATCCACCTTTTATACCCCACATCTTCACCATAAATTCGTCAATATTTAACGTTCCCGTTCTGTCCTATTTTGTATCTGTATTTGAGAATTGATGTGTTATTGTTGTGATATGTCACATTCAGATACAAGAGTATCTCACCAGACGAGATGTACAATTGTCCATGGTGCAACTTCATTGCGTCTCAGTATATAGTAGCTGGTTATCTACAGTCCCCTTTTTTTTATCTCTTTGTTTTTGACAGTTTTTATTTCACAATTGATTTAAATTGTTTTCATTGAATGTTATGATTAACTCTTGCTTGATGTGCTCTCTAATTGCACGTGCATTTTGCTTTTTTTTTTGTCTTCTCCAGTCGTTTGATGCACTTCCTCAATCTGAAGCAGCACCATCTTCCCCTGACCTTGTGACATCCTTCACTGAGCAGCTCCCAGAATCCTCCACTATTACCATGTCAGCCCATGAAACGTCACTTAACATGTCCGAATCAAGCCATTCAAGTGAGAGTGACAGTAAGTCAAACCTGAAACGTAAAGATAGTTTTTACGATAGTGACGAGGAAGAAATCAAAGCACCTCGCAAAGCATCACCGCAAAAATCAAACGAGACCTCGCCAGAGAGACTTGCTCTGTTAAAGAGCATGACACCGGCAACTAAATTGAATACGTTTGGTAAAGAGGCGAGGGACATACATGTCGAGAAAATGACAGAAGTACAACATAAATTCGATTACGAAGATATTGATGCACTTCCATCATACCAGGAGGCTACGTCTGGCTCCATTCAAGTCACCACCACCTCCACCACAAGTTTCACTAAAAAAAGAGATGTGAGTCCACTGGCACCATTAAGGATAGAAACTCAGTCTCTTGATATACTACAAAATGTGCAGCATGAACGGAAAGAATCAGATGCAGTTTCGGACCAGGTATTTGGTTTAGACATTCCTGATAGTTCGGAGGCATAAAGTAACGCTGTTTTAACACTCATAAACATTTTTCCACTGTGTAATGGACAGACTCATTTAAAACATGAAGTGAAAAGCATACTTTGTTATTTTTAATACATTCCGCACAATTTAGTTATATTAAAGATAAAACACTAATTTATTAACTTTTATTTGTGGAGTCGTGAAAATCGGCCATGCCCGTTTATAACTGTGAATTATATATGTAACTTCTATATGGTTTGTATATTTTACACCAGTGTCAACACATTTGTGGACTTTTCAATAAATTTTTGCAACGAATCTGCTAATGTGGTTTATATTCCGTTCAAATCCAAATGAAACATTCACATTATTAATTCCACTGTAGAATATATTTGTTATCATTGAAATTATTCAGACATTTTATTTTTTTTTTTATTTTTTTTTTTTTTTTTTGTAACTGTCCAACAGTAGTGACACCTAGTTATTTAGTAATCTGTATTTATTATTATTATTATTATATTATATATATGCTTAGCTTCATGTTTGGTGACCTGTTCAATGCACATGTCTCATGACACATTTCACATGGTTAGTGTAAAATGCCACTAAAAACCCGTCTGCCACCCAATGTCCTATGTGCCTAAGCCGTTAAACTAGAAAGAGATAAAGGCCAAACCAATTTGATGTTTATTTCTTCGCTGTCTCATTAAATAGACACTTGAGTCCCGTGAACTGGGTTAGATCTATGTGATAAGGCCCATTTCAATTTTGGTCAAAGATCACGAGATGTAAACAGAGCCAGTGCTAACTCCAACCCTAACCCTAACTCTGGACCTAGCCCTAACCTACAATCTCGGCAACAATCATGTGCCCTAACCTTATTTACATCTCAGCGACTTTGACAAATATGGAGCTGGCCTTAACAAATAGATTTAGCCACCGTGAAGAGTTGTTTTGTTTGAAATTTCAAAACTTAATAAATTGGAACTAAAAACTTTTGAAAAACAACCCAATTTTTTTTAATTTTTTTTTAATTCACATCATTCCCGAAGAATATTAATTTGAATTGGTGGGACCATACTGAATCTTATTGCAGAAGCATATGTAAGATCCACGCACTTGGCTTCATGTATGGTTCGAGCAATTGGCGGCTAGTTTTAAAATATAACTGGGTATGCATGAATTTCATTGATTCGCTGTTGAGGGCAGAGGTCTTTAGTGGTTGTTTTATTCTAAACTTACTTCACAATTCTACACAACACTTAAATACAGACAATAGCAATGATCTTATTTTGTCGGAAATCACTGATTTGTCCAAGTAGAATGCTTTATGTTTTAACACTCAGTGCTTTCAATAATTTAGAAATCTTTTAACAACTTCTCTACAAGTTAATTGAATAATTTCTGTCACTGGATTCCAATACAAGACAAACTACAAATGATTGATGAGAAATATGGCTAGCACAACTACATCTGCCATTGATACAGTAGTGGTGAACCCAGAGGTAGCTAGGTTTCATGAAGTTGATTTCTCATTGTCCGGAGTCAGCACACTGTTGATTTCTCATCATCCGGAGTCAGCACACTGTTGATCTCAAAAAGGGTGCTCAAGCCCTTAGCACCTCACTATGGCTTCACTGCTATCATCAGTACAGAGAAATGTAGTTTATTACTAGTTGTATTTAACATTACTTAACAAAGAAGATAACATTCGTACATTACATGGGTAAACTTGACTTGCATGATGCTTTGTTGGTTTGTGTATGTTGTGCTATATCTATATAACTATATAAATGTATGTTTACATTATTTTCATTTGTTTCAATATGTGATCGACTTTGTGTTTGGTATCGCAAATGATTTACTCAGTTAGTTGCCAAGGACCAGAAAACAAATCGTGTGCCAAACAATTCATATTTTACTTATTAATTATTTTCTTTTTTGATTCAAAGTTGAACATATTTGCTTAAACTTTTATTAAAGTTGAAACCAATTATAGGTTATAAAAGTATAAACTATAATTCAATTAGACATATTTTGTAAACGATCAATATTTGGAGCCGAGATTTCTAAAAGATTAATTAGGCAAATTCCTATGATAATATTGCAGACATTGATTAACAAAACCAATAATAATCTTTATTGAATTATTTTATAGCAGATAAAAATAATAATGAATTGTATATTAAATCATATCTAGAATATATATACCTAATTTACATCATTGTAATTTATTAAAATATACAATTTATTAATTTTAATTATGTCTTTGCCAATTAAATTTTAAAATAAATTTAAAAAATTATATATAATGATAGATATCCTCTGATTTCTCTTTTTTTTTTTTTAAATTTTATAGCTTAAAATCAAAAATACAAACTTTTTAGGTTGTGAAAATTGTATTATTAATAAAGCAATTATATTGTCCCAATTTTAAAACCACCTGTTTACCTGTTAGTAGAATATTGTACATTTATTTTTTTAATTTATATTAAATGAATCTCACATAATTATATATAATACATCGAATATATTTAATATTAATAAGCCGAAGAGATAGATATGTTGTGATTTTTTTTTAAATAAGATGTTTAAATTTAATTTTAATTTTTTACACATAGTACCCCACCTAATCCACCAAACCCTCCTAATTAAAAACTTAAAATATTTTTATATATCAAATAATTGATTCCCCCTTAATTTTTAACCTAATTTATTATTATTGATTAAATTTAACAATTTTACTCTCCCCACTATAACTTAATCTTTTTATTCCTTTTACTCTACCTAAAAGATATCCGTGTTATAGACTTTAAATTCACCTAAAGCATTAACTTCAATTTTAAAACTTCTTTCTGGAATTAGGCCCCATATCAATTTTAAAACTTCTTTCTTGAATTAGGCCCCATATTAATTTAAAAATACAATTTTAAGATTCTGTCATGTTTCAGTTGCTTAAGTAATGTATTTTGTATACGTTTTTGTTAGATAGATATTTTTTTTCGATTAAAGGGAAGAAACTCTTGGTATAGTGTCATCCTTTGTTACTGCAAAGGTTACTAATAAAACCGTTTGTCTTCAGACTTGGATTATGGTTAATCAAACTATTTATTGAGAAACATCCATACTAATATATACTTTATACTTGATAATTATAGCCAATATTTATTGACTGAATTAAAACACATTGAGCTTGCTCCAATTGTGATTCCTCTAAATATACCACATATTCAAAGTATCGGTAATCTAACTTACGGTGATTTGATCTGAAACAGTTGATTAAGGGGAGACAACCAGCTTTTAGTTGATCACTGTTTTTATATCAATTGATTTTTGCAAATGTGCTATTATTTCTGGTCTTCGTTCATATACATGTGTTGTGTCATATCATTTTAAAGAGGTGAAAGGGTAAAGATTTACTCAAAGGGTATACTTGTCTGTTTATCACTTATTAAAACCATGTTATTTTTGTCCCCCACCTTTTGAAGAAAGCGGTGAACTATTAGAATGGGTCCATTCGTCACACTCTTTGCAACAAAATCACTCTGCTTCTAATTGAGCTAGAATTTCCAAACTTGATATAGGTGTTTATTAGGTGAATGCCTTGCCTGAGTTTGTGATGAGCATTTTCTGCTAAGGCTAAGCAGAGATACACAATTTTAATGGTCGATGCTTTAAGACACAATAACTTTGCTTCTAAATAAGTGAGAGTGATGAAACTTGGTGTATAGTTTCATTACATCAATACCTTGACTAAGTTCGTAAATGAGCATTTTCAGTTCAAGTTAAGCAGAGTGATAAGCAATTTGATTGGTCGAGACTTTTGAGCTCGACAAGATAAATATGCAATTAAAAAATGTGTGTCGTCCAATTACTTGTTCAATTTGGCAGTGGACATCAGCCTCACTCTTGGCTTGTCTTTGTGGGTTTTTTAATGTCTTGGTGATGGACTGCTTCATTCATGGGCATACTAGTACCAATTAATTGTTTGGAGGGCTGCAGAGGTTTTAACCTTTAACCTTTTGATGAATTTTGTCTGAAAAAAATTTCCTTTGGATTATTTATCCGAAAAGAAATTTTGTTGATAACTTTTTAGCAGAAGTGCAGCCCCCCCCCCTACCGTCCCTTCCCTCTATATCTATTCTTCTAACTGTTCTGACTAACAGCACTTTGGTTCTATATAGTGTTCTAACAATATGGTTCTATATACGGTAGTTAACAAGTTTTCTAACAATGTTCTATAAGTTAACAGGTTTTCTAACAATATGGTAATGGTGTATGTAGTTGTCGGTGTCTAGAAATATCCAATGATAACAATCCTAAACATTTGATTTTTTAAACATTTTAGACCGTTATTTTTGAAATTTTTAACTTCTTTCTATTGGTTTTAGACTTTAGTTACTCTGTTCTGAATTCATTATTTAGTTTCTGTCAATTTATGTGTTAAAATTAGAACTTCATTAATGATTAACGTTACACACACATTGTTTCATTGTGTTCTAGTCAAATGTTTTTTCATACAATGCATTTACATATTGACACTACGTACGACTGATAATTAAGAATTGCTCGTAACTTTCTAAATAATTTTTGTTTTATCATAAATTTATAAAATTTACTTTGGGAATAATACTTATTAAATACAAGCTTTGTTCTTTGATTAGTTTAACAGACAAGGGAAATAACTCTTTATTGTCTATTGAAACAAAGGCATAGGCATAAACAATTCTGTCAAATTTCACGATGAAAGTTGTGAAAAAATTCTTAAGCCAGGGACCTGTTGGAAAAATAAGAAGCCTATGTTCAATTTGTATTTATTAGCCTGTCGATTTATTTTCTCATATTTGTTTACTTGTGCACAACAAAAAGCATACCATGAATTTATTGAAAGTTAATTATGAGCAATTCAACAAGCATGTGTCAGTTTGTTACTAGTATTTTATACTTATGATAATTTTATTAATTATATATGTTTATATTACATAAATATATGATATTTTATCAGTGTTTGGTTTGTTTATCACAACAATTCATAGGATATTATTTTTAAAGAGAAGTTACAAAGTAGTCGCATGCATAATTAAAGAGGCATTGTTACTTTGATCGCATTGTTTCGATTTAGCATCATCTCCAGAATAATGGGGGGTTGGATGGCTGAATGGTTAGCGTGTGCGCGTTTTATCATAAGGTCTGTCATTGAGTCAACTGGTGTGGTTTTGATTCCCCCGTTGTACGTGACAAGGAGTAGGGTCGCCTGTCTAACTTTGTGGGTTTTCTCCGGGTCCTCTAGTTTCCTCCCACTGCTAAAGACCCCTACACTCAAGCAAATTATTGAAATAAAGTTGAAGCATATGTTAGTCCCAAAATGACCTAGTTTGTGTCGAGTGGACATTGAACCCCATTTCTCTTTCTCTCTCCAGAATAAGAGTAACGTGAAAGCCTTTAAACATTACTGAGTACACCTGAAATTTATGCATCTCGATATAGATTTTATCAGGATACAATACAAGACAAACCATGGAGCAGTATGTAAGATTTAGATAAAAAGCTGGTAGTTCTTGCTATAATAGTTCAAAAATAGATAATGCAAAATCAATATATTGAACATTTCATTCAAATTACTTTACGTTAAATCATTAAATGGCCGAACCTTTCTAATCTACTTTAAATCAGAGCCATCCAATGGCATAGAGAGTTGAACTAAATCTACCTATTGCAGGTCTTTCTTTGGGCCTTAAATGTTTATACATTATTAATTAGACATTAATTAACCTATCCAGACCATAATCAGTTCTTTAGACCAGTACCTATTTCGGTGATTCCACACCTGGGCAAAAAGTAGTCCCTCATTCCTCTCCTTCCCAAAACATTTTGTACAAAAATATTACTATTTCTTAAGCCATTCCTCCCCAATGCCCCTTTGGCTCTAAATTCCTCCCTAAGACTTTGCAATTCCACCCTTGGTATCCCTGTGGATCCCAAAATTTGCTCAGAATGAAGTAATTTGACTGAAATTTTCAATATACTCCTCTTTCATTATCAATTTTTAAACTATTACAACGAGAACGGCCAGCTCCTTATGTAAATCTTACATAATGTATCTATAACTTAATCTGTATCGTGGTTATATTGTGTTGTATCTTGAGCATTACATTGATTGAGAGGCATATCATGATGCCCCTAGCAGATTCATCTTAAATTGACTAGGGGGGGTCGGAAGGTCGAATGGTTAGCACGTGCGTGCTGTATCATAAGGCCTGTCATTGAGTCAACTGGCGTGGTTTCGAATCCAAGGTTGTACGTGACAAGGAGTAGGGTCGCCTGACCTCGTGGGTTTTCTCCGGGTCCTCCAGTTTCCTCCCACTGCTGAAGACTCCTACGCCCAAGCAAATTATTGAAATAAATTAAACCATGTGTTTGTCCCAAAATGACCTGGTTTGTGTCGAGTGGACATTAAACTCCATTTCTCTCTCTCTCTTGTTAAATCCCATTCATTTTTAACTGATCGGTAGCAATCCCCAAAGTAATAGTGCCTCTTTAAAGTCCTTCCGAATCCTTTTCAAATTTAGAAATACTTGAAGTAAATTGGGTTTGTTTTTATTGGCGTAGCCAGGCTGATCCTGCATGTCACACGTCAGTCTTTATGAACAGTTGTCTGGCTTTCATGCATAAATATGGCGGTGTCCTTGTAAAATAATCCAATTGTCTGAGCAAAGAGATAGATGGATGTATTGATGGAATAAGAAGCAATGTTAAACGTATTGATTTTGACCAAATTGCATGCTATCTGTTTAGAAGAGTTTGAATGCCAGTGTTCTGTCTGTATTATTTGTATGTGTTGCTTATCCTTAGTTGTCACCTGCCAACACCTCACGAATAATAGACGAAGAATTTGCAGACATCTTCAAGATATCCACTCTTGAAAAACCTTCATCTACCACATCTAGTGTTAAAGTCACTCCTCCCCCAATACCCCCAAAGCCACGCCTACCACCCAGAGTTGCGCCAGGACCAAAATTGAAAAAGGTAACTTACAGTTAATATTTCTTGTCACATATATATATAGTTCACACTCACAGCACATAATAGTACACACTGGAATAGAGACATTTTAAGACTTGATAGGGGAGCTGGATGACCAAATGGTTAGCGCGTTGTATCATAAGATCTGGCATTGAGTCAACTGCCGTGGTTTCAATTCCCCGGTTGTACGTGACAAGGATTAGGGTATCTATACAACCTCATGGGTTTTTTCCAGATCATCTGGTTTTCTCCCACTGCTAAAGACCCCCTACACGCAAGCGTATTATTGAAATAAAGTTGAACCATATGTTAGTTCCGAAATGACCTAGTATGTGTTGTATGAACGTTGCCGATATCTACCTTATTTATATATAAAGCCCCACGAAAAATACTGATTCAATTTTTCAATCAGGTGTTGACCAACCTAGAGCCATACTCACGAAAATTTCACATTATATTTTAAGGACACGTCTTTTATTGATTGGAAAGGTAAACAATTAGACAACCCTGGTCATTATGTCTTTTACCTTTTATTTATGGTTAATTGGGAAAAACCTATAATCATAGAAGATAATTTTAGCTCAGTCAATAAAAAAGGTGATATCCTTTGAATATTTTTGTCTTAATTTTTCATGTGATGTCACAATATGTTAAAGGAAAACTAGGTCATTTTGAGACTAACATATGGTTCCATTTTATCTCAATAATTATCTTACACGTAGGACTCTCCAACAGTGGGAGGAAACCAAGAATAAACCCAAGAGATTGGACTGGCAATCCTACTCCTTGTCACGTACAAGCGGGGAATCAAAATCACGCCACTTGACTCAATAACAGATCTTATGATCTAACACACACATATTCCGCTACCCAACATCTCTGTTAAAGAAGGATGTGTTAACACAGTGGTTCTCAACCTTTTTTTGCTAACGGCACACCTTGGAACACATGATAAAATAGTGGCACACCTGGCTAAATGTGCATGAAATATATTTGAATTTTGCAAAATAAAAACATGGTTAAATCAGACGGAATACCACCGTAGACAGAGACCAGTCATAGACTTATCAGTAGACACCAGTGACAGTGAATAATCAATTGGGATCATGTGGTTTTTCGCATTTTCTTAGTATACCGTTCAAAATTTCGCGGCACACTTGGGAAGATCTCGTGGCACACCTGTATGCCTTGGCACACTGGTTGAGAATCACTGTGTTAACAATTTAAATATAGTAAATAACGACATCTATGAATATAATTTTTGTATAAACATACCCAGATAACATGATCTTCTCAACCTGCTAAAGTGCCTGAATCCACAATCCCTTAATGAAAGAATTGATGGTGTTTGACCTTTCATAAATAAGCCCCTTTAATTGAAATTTGAGTGAACTCGGGGATTGAGGAAGGGGGGTGAGGGACTATAAAATATAAGCATACAGAAATGATATTATTTTCTCTAAATTCTAAAAGTGCCTGGATGCTCGATTAATTAAAAACAAAATTGATTATGTTTGGGCTTTCGTAAATTGTGCCCTATTATTGTAATTTGAGTGAACTCAGGGATTGGACCGGTGTGAAGATTATAATTTTTTTTGTTTATACCGTACAGAAATGACATTATTTTCTCCGACTACTGGATGTTCGATCCATTAATGAAAGAATTGATGGTGTTCGTCCTGAACTGACCTGGTTATGCTAAATGGATGTAAAAACTCATTTCTCCATCGCTTTCTATTTTATTAAAAGTGATTTATCTTTGGAGATTTCCTTCCTTATCAGACTCCCGAGACTTTTTTCAGTTAGAATAACATGGTATCAAAATACCTTTTACGTGAGAAGTAATGACCAGTGAGCAGTCTTCGTACTCTCTTCCATTGATCATAGTGATAAAATCAATTCAGCTTTACTTGGAGATTTTCGATTTAGCCTGGAAACCTGAGCGGATGGGTGTGGTCTCGTCTAATACCTTCAAGTTAGAACCTAGGTTATCTTCGATCAATACTTAGTACACTCATATAACAGAAAATATCATTAGAGTTCATTGGTACATATCTCGTGCCCGATATCTGTCTAAGTAATTATGTGTGCATTTTGTCAGAGTTTTCTTGTAATGCTTAGTTAAACCTAACAATCAAAACCAGTGATATAAACTGTTTCATGAAATCTTATACAAGGCTTTGATTATCCAGGGTGGGGGGTAGGTGGCCCAATGGTTAGCGCGTAGGGTCATTGTGTAGGGTCGTCTGTCCAACCTCATGGTTTTTCTCCAGGTCCTCTGGATTCCTTCCACTGCTAAAGACCCCTACGTGCAAGTGAATTAATGAAAAGAAATATTGAACCATATGTTAGTCCCGAAATGGCCTGGTTTGTATCGAGTGGACATTAAACCCCATTTCTCTCTCTTTCATAGAGTTGACTAACCTATTTCTTTCTCATTCCAATATATTGATAATTAGAAGTAGTAGATATTTATCACGGAGCTACTGAGCTGTTTGTTGACATAATATTCATCTAATCAAGTAAAGGAAGGTTGGATGTCCGAATGGTTCGCGTGTGCACGTTGTATCATAAGGTCTATCATTGAGTCAGTTAGCGTGGATTTGATCCACCGGTTGTACGTGGGTTTTCTCCGGGTCCTCCGGTTTCCTCCCACTGTTAAATACCCCTACCTGCAAGTGAATTATTGAAATGAAATTGAACCATGAGTTTTCTCCGGGTCCCTCCCATTGCTAAAGACCCCCTACGTGCAAGCAAATTAGTGAAAAAAAATTAAACCACATTTTAGTCCCAAAATGACCTAGTTTGTGTTGAGTGGACCTTAAACCCTATCTCTCTCTCTCTCTCTCTTAGGGAAAATTATGTTTTTCCCTAATATGTAGGAGGTACATATATCTCTGCACTGACCTTAAATAATTGTTTACCCAAATGACTCTTATTTTGCAAACCAATATTTATGTAAGCCAAAACTGTGATTATTTGAGTTGGAGCAATAGACACAGGGAGAGACCATGTCTGCCCGTGTTTTCTCTGGGTTGTACAATGCTAAAAGACCACGGCATAAATGCATAGAATTAGTGTGTTTTAGTTACAAAATCAACATTTTGTGGTGTTGACATTAAAGATACATTCCTGCGTACAAAGTGGATGATTTGATGATATATTTGGACTAAAAACATATTCAAACTAATTAATCTATCAAAAATTTGCTTGAAATCTCTCAAAAATCTATTTTTTGAATCAATGGTTGTCTGGTAACTTGATTGAGGGAGGGCATATTTCCCGAATGTATTTGTCGTTACTTACTATCCATTTACCGTAAATATTCAAGCCTAAGTAAATTCATGGGTTATATTCTGGCAACTACTTTTTCCGAAGTTTAATTGCAGAGTCTGTTGTACATTCAAACCCCTCAGTGTTCCGAAAACCGCCTAACCATCCGATCAAGAAATAACAACCGCTCCCTAAGTCAAGCTACCCATTAGTGATACACTGACATTTTTGCCCCGTGCTTGCCACATGGGTGTTTGTCAAGGAATCCATTATTTTGTTTAGTAAGATTGGATGTCTAGACTTCCCATATATACCAAATTTTGCCATACATTTATTAGAAATAACCACCTATAAATACATTCGTGAGAATGTATCTTTAAATTCACAGCTATCAATGAACAGAAACCTTTTTGTTGGTCACATTAGATTTTAATTTCAGATTTAATGTTAGTGTTAATGTCAGTTTTTATCTCTCAGGAGACTATATAGACATCTTAGTATGGCAATGTTCTTATCAATTGAGCTGTCATTAGTTTATTTATATCAAACTTGGTGTGATGATATTTTAATGGAAGTAAAAGACAGGACAAAAAAAAGCTTTGATAATTGGTGCTATTACACATAGTAGCAAACTTGGCTCTCAAACTATTAAATAATTATTGATGATTTTTTGTGAATTGATGGTAAGATTTAATTGATTAATTGTTCAGTTGCCTCGTTATCCATAGCTATTGGAAAAGGCCATATGTAGTTGATTTTCTGTTCTTCAAGCTGTTGATAAATAGATAGCCACTTTAGAGAGAGAGAGAGAGTTGGGGTTTAAAGTCCACTCGACACAAACTAGGTCATTTCCGGACTAACATATGGTTCAATTTTATTTCAACAATTCGCTTGCGAGTAGGCGTCTTTAGCAGTGGGAGGAAACAGGAGGACCCGGAGAAAACCCACGAGGCTGGATGGGTGACCCTACTCCTTGCCACGTACAACCAGGGAATCGAAACCACGCCAGTTGACTCAATGACAGACCTTATAATACAGCTCGCAAGGGCTAACCATTCGGCCATCAAACCCCTCAGATAGCCACTTGAATCACATGAAAGATACTTAGTTTAGAATATCTAAATTTGGAACTAGAAGCTGTTGAATAGTGCAACAAGGTACCTTTTATTAATAAAGGGGGGTGGATGGCTGAATGGTTAGCATTTGCACGCTGTATCATAAGGTCTGTCATTGAGTCAACTGTTGTGGTTTCATTTCCCCGGTTGTACATGACAAAGAGTAGGGTCACCCATCCAGCCTCGTGGGTTTTCTCCGGGTCCTCCTGTTTCCTCTGCTAAAGACCCCTTCGTGCAAGCAAATTATTGAAATAAAATTGAACCATGTGTTAGTCCTGAAATGACCTAGTTTAAAGGCTCAATACCACTCTTGTTGTAACTGAATAATATATCCCAATCTTTATTCTGGTCAACAAATTGTACTATTTTAGAATATTTCAATTAATTGATGATACAAATTTCATCTTAACACACCTTATTTAAAATTTTTGAAAAATTCAACATAATGGTTTGAAACGTCTAACGTAAACCTTTTCAAATGAAACTTTGATTTAAAATTATTTTCGAACCCTCTGGACAAGTAAAATAGGATGTAATGGATAATTTACACAACAGGTAGGACACTTAAACATCTAGTACTTAGATAGAGATATTATTTATTTTCTGGAGCTTTCA